AAGTGCAAAAATTTAAATATCTAGGAGGTGTTTTAACAGTTGATAGAAAATACAAATACATGGAGAAGACACATGAGGCAACAGAATGTGGCTCCACAGGAGGATACTGAGAATACCGTGGACTGAATATGTGAAGAACAAAAATATTTTAGAGAAAATGGAAACTAAAATGACACTTATACCTGGCATCAGAAATGGTCGGTAATGAGGAAAGAGGGCTTGGAAAATTTGATACTCGCAGGATATATTGGAAGCAAGGGAGACAGAGGAAAACAATGCATAACCCCTGCCTAACGAGCTTGTGTAAATGGTTAGCAGTATAGGGATTAGGAGAGATAGCAAAAAGACACTTTATTAACAAAGTCCAGGAAGTTGTGGAGAGCTATAATTGCTTACTCTCCTGAAAGGGCACAGCACATAGAAAACCTTCCTCAAGGCCTGACATTTGTCAGAAACAAAAATATTGATAAAATAATCTTAGAAGGTTCCTCTTCATAATACAAACATAATATCAAATCGATCTATCACCTCTTAAAGAGTTATCTGTACTTTGTTTTTATTTACAAATAAGTAAATTTAAAAAGTGAAACTGCTTACATCATTGATAATTGCATACTCTTGATGTTGTCCCTTTTCTCAATTCGTAATAGTACGCAGTTATCATTGACGTAATCACAGTTTCAAACTTGAGATTTGTAAAAAAAAACAAAGTACAGATAACTCTTTAAGAAGTCAGGGACCGATTTTACATCGTATTTACATTATGAAAAGGAGCCTCGTCTAAGATCATTTAAAAAAATAATAATGATTCTGACACATTTAGAGATTTGGGAAAGTTCTAAGGAATGGTTACCTACAAACATGATCCAAATTGCTTGTTTTCATGAGCAGACCAATCAATTTAAATAGTTCCCAGTTCTGGAATCAAATGTGCTTGACAGAATCTATAAATTGTTTTTTTATTTCCCATATCATTTCCGTTTTATTGTGATGTTAGATGATTATTTGTAAACATAGAACGTGGCATCTTCCTCAAGCTTTCTACAGACCGGCCACGTTGCATTTCAAAATATCCATTTCGTCATTGTGCACCGAAAGCTGGGAAAGGGCCTGCTTCACGCTCACAAGGTAGCACGCGAAAAGACAAACGTCACGTCGAGAAATATGAACGTGGGGCCAGTTTTCCATATTATATGTAGATGTTTTATTCAGGGCTTTGTTTGCTCGTCCAGATTGGGTAGGTAGGTGATACTTGGGACAATCTTTGCTGTATCAACACTTCTTTCTACAGAACTTTCCCCTTCTACTCATCTCGACGTCGTGGAGGCCCATACGAAATGAAGACTTTGGAACTGCTTGTCGAACATATTTGTCTCCTGCCAAAGGCGGACAAGAGCTCTCACCCGATCCCAAGCATGACTATTAATACAGAACCGCACCCGAATATATCCTATTTCTAATTTTGTTGCCACTCGATCTAAATTCATGAGATCGAGATAAAACCGCCTTTTCCTTTTCTATGAGGTTTTCCATAGATCATATATTATTAAAATACTGTTTATTTAACCACTGATATAACAAGGATAGTTTATAAAACAAATTCCTCAAAATGTTCCTTCTCTCTAATGGTTATATAGTGACGCATTGACAAGGAAACTGAGACAATGAATCATAAGCTATAACAGAACGCAAATCCGGTATACATTGGCAGGATTTCAGCTTTATTTATTACTATCCACTGACATTACTTGAATTTCACTAGATTTTTGGCTTAATTATATTCATTATCTGATATAAAATACTAAAATTACTAGTACTAAATATGTATCTAAAATGTATTTTACCAAGATTTCGTAGTCAGTCTGCTTGTTGTGTATTTCGAATGAGGAAAATGCTGGTTGTCATTGAACAGGAATTAATGCAAATTTTACTGACAGAATAAAGATATATATTTACTATAGAAAAGTATTGCCAGTGCATTGAAAATTAGTCAGAAAGGGGTTCTCAGTGGGGCAGAAATATGACAAAATTGAACTAATGTCTGTAACAGGCATCGTAATTTCCCGCCAAAGAAAGCAAATTTTTTCCTTTCTAAAATTCCCTCTAATATCAGTCGACATCTTTTGTCCTGATACGTGACGATCTCCCAAACATTACTGTTTGACACACTAGTCACCTGATGACCCCACATTTTAAGTGTATAGGATTATAAATGATTAAATTCTGGTCATATATTAAAATGTAAAAGCATCCTGTTTGACAATAATCCCTTGATAACGCCCACAATTAAGTATAGAGGATTATAAAAGTGTTCGGTGCATCAAGGGCATTGCAGACAAGACCAAACTTATAATGTAGAGAAAAAGTCCAAAGACTGCGCAGATGTGCCTGACAAAGGCAACAGAATTGGTCAAAGTGGTGGTGGTGGGGGAGACTGAGGCGCAATAAATAAATAAATAAAATAAGAAAAACTTAAAAAAAAGAAAATACAATTTTAACGAGAACTAAAAATCGACTCCAAAATCTGCAGGTCTTGTCCATCAATACTAAAAACCTTGGCGAACAAAAATCACTTTTAGTTTCTTCAACTAAAAAAACAAAAACGAAACAATCAAAGAACAATGCAAAACTTTGGTATAAAGTCACAAGTATAGTACATCAATAAAGTAGATTTCCTACAGTCGTAACAGTCTTTGAAACTAGCTTGGTAGCCACTACACCAAGTCAAAGTACCTAATTAATGATTTACTAAGCGTAACTTAGATGTGGTACAAGTTTGGAGCACCCAGTGAGGATCGAACTCACTACTCAGTCGTAACTGATCTAGCGGGACACCATGTCGAAGTGCTCTCGGATTCCTTTTTAAGTGCAATCTCTCTCGCCTCTTTGAATAAGAAAACTATATTTATTTTAAAGCAAATATTTGACTTCCAGTCAGATTCATTAAAAGGAAGGAGGCCGAGGTTTAATCCCTAATCAGATATTCTTTTGCACTCTTCGATTATTGTTGCACGTCCGGCACAAGGGCTCAACGGAGCTTCACGGGGTTTTTGTTTCTGGGCTCAGTCATGAAAAAAGAAACAAATTAAAAGTCAAAATAAGTTCGACATTGGGTCGCATTTGTTGGTAACTGAAAATTCTCTAAATCATAATCAAAGAATGAAGGAAGCAGAAGGACCCGGATTTAGACACGTGACTTGGAAAAAAAAAGCCAGAAAAAATAATAAAATTTTTTAAAAATCATTTTAACAATCAAAGAAAATAGATGGCGTAAGATATTTTTTTAAATCATTTCACACTAAGCAAGGCGATAAAGCCACGAAGACGCAAGAATGATGGAAACTGAGAAAACGTTATTGATGAGAAAGGCGAATAAAAAGGACAGGAGTCAGGGAGATAGAAATCGACGATCGATGTTGCATTGAAATGATTGTAGATCGAAGTTGACAGGAAAGCAAGATGCCGAGTTTCAAAGTCAAGAAGTGTTAAACGATACACTATTAAAATAGAAAATGAGGTTACATCTAGCAATTTCAAGTATAAAATGATAAGACCTAACTGCCAACCAGGTAGTGCGCTTAAATTCGTAAAGTCGAGGTAGCAATGAGGAAAGTTAAACAGAACAGTTACCGTGAAAATATTTACAGAAAAGCCACAGGAAAACTACGTTATGGTACTGCAAAAGGGATTCAGGGAAAGTCTGCATGCCAGGTAAAGACCAATAACATTGCAAATTCTTGAGACTCTCGAGATATATAGCAGAAACACCGGATCAGTTATGACAGCAAAATTCAATGCACGGACGAGTGACAGTCTAATGGTGCATATTCGAATCTAACGAGAAAGCTTGTCTAGCACGACACAGTGAGGCAACTTTCCTAGCAGAAGACCCGGCAATTGATTCAATATAATCGTTCCATTTCAATGTCGGTGGAAAACTTTAGATATTAATTTTAAAGAAAGCCTTAGTTTGTAAATAGTTCGTTGTTATAGAAAAGCAATATTTTCGGACTTTTCGTATCTTGTTACCGGAAATGACAGAAAATTCTATCAGTCACACACATATATACGGAAATTTTCTGTTAAAATGGCGAAGTAGATTATTATTGTTGAAGATCTTTGCGACTGATCAATTGATTTGTTTTTCACTGTTTACCAACCCTTTGTTTGTTATTTAAATCCGAAATATTTTTTGCATTGTAAGAATAATTCTTTACTTTTTTGGCGAGTGAATATTTCATTAACAATATTTTGAGAATAACAATGAATTTTCTAGATGCAAGTCTTACTATTTAACCCATAGATGGGCGAAGGTGGCGAGTTCATGCCTTTCCTAAGGGTATTTGCGTGTAAGTGAATATAATGAACCCGACTAAAATTCGAACTCGGCTCTCCAATTTCTCAATCGGAACCTCTATTCATGACACCATCCGCACACCCTAGACCTTTGCGAATATCTTTGCGAAAGTGATTAATCAAGCCGAAGTTTTTATTGCTTCCGGACCGGAAGCACAATGACCAAAGACGCGATCTGTTGCTTGAGACACGGTTTTATGTCACGAAAAATCGGATTGGTGGGAAGTGAATCTAAAATGTCGGTCTCATCTCTTTCATTCCTTCTCGCACTAATGCTCTCGGGAAAGGCATTAAACCATATCCTCTCGCCATCCCCGCAATGGGTGGTTACTTAACTGGTCTATTTAGCCTTGGGTGGCTGTCAGTGTAGAAGAAAGACTACTTTGAATACAAAACTAGAGAAAGTAACAGGCAACCATTCTACTATTCCCCCCACCTCCAATGATAAGTTATGGTAAGTCACAGATAATAAAGAAAAGGAATCTGTAGAGAGCTGTGATCGTCTAATGAAGAGAGATGGCATTTCAAAAAAATAATAATAATAAAAAAGTATTGGTTATCTGGAACAATGGGAAAATTTAAGCGAGACTCATTTGCTATTATAAGAATGATTCAAAGCTATTCTTAATGACGTTGCTATAAAAATGCAACGAAACGGAGGAAAGCAAATTTTTCTTATTTCTTCTTTTTTTTCTTTTTTCTTCTTTCTTATTCCTTTTCTTCTTTCTTTCTTTTTCTACTTTCTTTTCCCTTTTCTTCTTCCTTTTCCCTTTTCTTCCTCCTTTTCCCTTTTCTTCTTCCTTCTTTTTTGTTCATTCTTCTTTTTCTTCCCTTTTCTTCTTTCTTTTTCCCTTTTATACTTTCTTTTTCCCCTTTTTCTATTTTCTTTTTTCTTTCCTCTTTCTTTTTCCCTTTTTCTTCTTTCTTTTTCCATTTTCTTCTTCCTTTTTCATTTTCTTCTTTTTTTCCCATTTTCTTCTTTCTTTTCCCTTTTCTTCTTTTTTTTACTTTCTTTATTTTCTTCCTTTTTATTTCTTTTCCCCTTTTCTTTTTTCTTTTTCCTTTCTTCTTTCTTTTATACTTTTCTTTTCTTTTTCCTTTTCTCCTTTTTTTGCTTTTCTTTCTTTTTCCTTTTCTTTTTTCTTTCTTCTATTTCTTTCTTTTTTCCTTCTTTCTGTTTTACTTTCCTTTCTTTTGCCTTTCTTCTTTCTTTTTTACTTCTTTCTTTTTTTTTCTTTCCTTCTTCTTTCGTTTTTTCTTTCTTTCTTTCTTTCTTTCTTTTTTCTTCGTTTTCGTTTTTCTGTTTTCCACTTTTCTTTTTTCCTTTTCTTCTTTTTCTTCTTTCAATTCCACTTCAATTTGCCACTAATGCTGGACAATTTTAAGAAAACGCCTGGTGACACTTAGGTCCTATATTTTGATTAATTTTTATCTGGACTAAGCATTATAAGCAATCTAATATGACAATTTCTCTGTAAAAATAGTCAACGACCAATTAATTGACTTATCAACCCTTTACAGGTTATTTAAAGCTAGAAAAACTTTCAGATTGTAAGAATTTTTTTGAGATAATAATGCTTTAGTGATGCAAGTCTTACTAATTAACCCATATATGGGAGGAGAAGAGATGGCTTCATATCTTTCCCAAGGGTATTTTGCGCGTAAATGAATATTACGAACCTAACAGGAACTGGAACTCGGCTCTCCGATTTCCAATTTCGATCCGTCATCCATTACACCACCCGCACATCCAAGCTTACAGTGCCTGGTATCAAGCAAGCGGTCATGCATCTAGGCACTGACCAGGCTCCACGTTGCTTAACTTCGGTGATCGTACGAGAACGGGAGTTTCGACGTGATATGGCTATAAGCCAAGATCGAGTTGACGTTGAAAAGTGTAAAAGTTCTGATTAATGAGGATGAAAGATACTCGCCTGGTGTTTGAGACATTGAAACTTACAAAAGTTTATATATTTGATCTGTTAAGAGTTCAGTCAGAGGAAAGACCAGACGATCAACTTGACAGATGTAAATGTTTAGTCTTCTTTGTTGTCGTCGTCTTCTTCTTCGCCTTATTTGCTTTCCTTTCTTCTTCTTTGACATCTTCTTTTTCGCCTTTTTCTTCGTTGCTTTCATCTTCTCCGCCTTATTTGTCTTTTTCTTCTTCTTCTCCACCTTATTTCCTCCTTCTATCTCTTCTTCTTCACCTTATTTGCTTTCCTTTCTTCTTCTTCTTTGACATCATCTTTTTCGCCTTTTTCTTCTTTGCTTTCATTTTCTCCGCCTTATTTGCCTTTTTCATTTTCTCCGCCTTATTTGCCTTTTTCTTTTTCTTCGCCTTATTTGCCTTCTTCTATCTCTTCTTCTCCGCCTTATTTGCTTTCCTTCCTCCTTCTTTTCTTCTTGGACATCATCTTATATATGTCATAATTCCCGCCTTTTTCTTCTTTGCTTTCGTCTTCTTCTTCTTCTTCTTCTTCTTCTTCTTCTTCTTCTTCTTCTTCTTCTTCTTCTTTTTTTTCTTTGCCTGCTTCTTCTTCGCCTTATTTGCCTTCCTTCCTTTTTTTCTTCTTCTTTTCCGCCTTTTTCTTCTTTGCCTGCTTCTTCTTCGCCTTATTTGCCTTCCTTCCTTTGTTTCTTCTTCTTTTCCGCCTTTTTCTTCTTTGCCTGCTTCTTCTTCGCCTTATTTGCCTTCCTTCCTTTTTTTCTTCTTCTTTTTCGCCTTTTTTTTCTTTGCCTGCTTCTTCTTCGCCTTATTTGCCTTCCTCTCCGCTTTCTTCGCATTCTTCTCTGCCTGATTTGCTTTCTTCTCCATCTTCTTCTTTTTCGCAAATACTTACCGCTAGACTTATTACAGAGGTCACTAACTTTCTCCCCAATTAATACAGAAAGGCTTTAAGGAAAACTCCTTAAATGTTAGATTTACACAAAATTAAATTTACTCGAATACAACAGTAATAAGTATATCATCATAGTTGGCCAGTTAAGTACTTGTAAAATCTGTGGTACCCGCTTTAGTGTAAATACTTTGGTCATGTGTTGTTAATTATTTTTACAGGAGGCGAGAGGAGAAAGACCTACCGGAAAGGGAGATAATCGAATTGCATTTAGATTTTGACCGTCACTCTGCTAAAATAAGCCGAAAGGGAAAGGGATCATAAATTAAAAGCCGAATAAGGAAGATGCACCAAAAGATGGAAGGCATAAATAGGGAATAATCTTGATAAATAGTCAAAAGTAAACAAAGGAACGCTTAGATAGTTTTTTCTTTTGTTTCTGCTTCAAAAAAGAAAAGATGAAAAAAAAAAAAATGACGCTAAAAGTTGGACAATATTTGCGAGTGACTTATGCCACATGGAAAATAAATTTAAAACTGAACAATAAAGAAAACAGTGTTTTTTTTATAATTAAAAACAATTCTTTTTACCTCTTTCATAACATTAAAATTTATCAAAAACAAAACAAAGCAATTCCCCGGGAATCTATTATCCAAATCCTTATTCACGCATTAAAACAAATTCGTTCCACATTCTTTTCAAGTTGAAAGATATGTCATATTTGATTCCCGCCAAAAAATCGAGTTTAATGTTAAATTATGAACATTTGTTCAAAGATCTGCGTTCGAAGAAAGTAACCAAAGCGACACACCCTCACGCCGATATTAATTGACGAAGCCAAGAAGTGAGCCATATAATTTTACTTACCTCTCCGTCAATTAGTGTGTTACACCCAGCCATTGCCTCACATAAATAATGGACCATGCTGTTTTAATTGCGAGAAAAGGCAGAAGAAAAATCATATATGAGACGTTGTTTGGTTTTAATGAGAAAAATAAAACATACAATAAGAAGAAAGAGAAGATGGATGTGGCTATAAAGAATATCTCTCCTGGAAGTAGACGATCATGGCTCTCCGTATGTCAACTGTGTATGCATTATCGTAAATACCTTTTGCCAAAGTTATTTCTCGTTGACCAATTCATATAATTTAATTAAAAGTTGTGCTTGTAGATTAGTTGTCATCAGAGATATAGAGCGTAGTCTACCCCGTTACTTAATGTGTAGGAAAGAAGAGATAGGTTATTGCCTTTCCGATTGCATTCGTTCGTCGTAAATACAACTGCCTCGGTCTGAATTTGAATTTGCCAATTGCATTTTCCATTTTGCATTTTCCATTTTCGTCATAAGTAGTTGAGGTTAGCTGGCTTGGAACGAACCTAAGCATGAATCATAGGTGCTTAGGAAAAGCATACCTTACTAGAAGTAGGTAAACAGGACTCAGATTAGAGCTTGCTAGGCCTCGGCATTTCGTGTCTGGTAAAATTTAATTTCTTATTTCGTGTGTGTGTGTAGGTGGCATAACTGTTCGCATGGTTTAGTGGAGTTGCATCCCAGGGGAAGGCAGTCAAAAAAGAGAGAGAGAGAGAAAAAAAGGCGAATTCATTTGATGATATTACAAACGAGGCTGTACGGTTGCATTTATATGATCCAGAAGGAATCTGTCGGCAGAAAACCCGTATTCTTAAAAATTGTCTTCATACTACAACTTCAGGTGCATCATCATCTGCATCACAAGGAATCTGAAGAAGAAGAAACACCATTAGCTTACGGAAACGTTACAGCATCACATTGCGCAGTTGTTGTATTTTGCTGAAAAAAAGAGTGCACAGGGAAAATAAAAAAGGCTACCATTCAAACGACAATGGCATCAGTCACTGTGGTTGCAGATCCGAACATAAAAAGGAAATTGCAAGAAGGAAAACTTGGCCCTTTAATAAAGTCCCATTCTATTGCAACAACATTTGATGTGTCTAGCCTTTGTGCTTCATAAGGAGGCTCAAGGAATAAGACATAGGGCCTTTAAAATATTCACTTACTACAGGAAGAATCGCAATATTATCTGTTTGCAGCCTTGTGTTGGGAAAAGAGGGCGTGGGAATATTATACGGTCCCTCGGTGCTTGCAGCCTTGTGCTGGGAAAAGAGGGCGTGGGAATATGATACGGGCCATCGGTGCTTGTAGCCTTGTGCTGGGAAAAGAGGGCGTGGGAATATGATACGGGCTCTCGGTGCTTGCAGCCTTGTGCTGGGAAAAGAGGGCGTGGGAATATGATACGGTCCCTCGGTGCTTGCAGCCTTGTGCTGGGAAAAGATGGCGTGGGAATATGATACGCGCCCTCGGTGCTTGCAGCCTTGTGCTGGAAAAAAAAGGTGTGGGAATATGATACGGGCCCTCGGTGCTTGCAGCCTTGTGCTGGGAAAAGAGGGCGCGGGAATATGATACGGGCCCTCGGTGCTTGCAGCCTTGTGCTGGGAAAAAGGGCGTGGGAATATGATACGGGCCCTCGGTGCTTGCAGCCTTGTGCTGGAAAAAGAGGGCGTGGGAATATGATACGGTGCCTCGGTGCTTGCAGCCTTGTGCTGGGAAAAGAGGGCGTGGGAGTATGATACGGTCCCTCGGTGCTTGCAGCCTTGTGCTGGGAAAAGAGGGCGTGGGAATATGATACGTGCCCTCGGTGCTTGCAGCCTAGTGTTGGGAAAAGAGTGCGTGAGAATATGATACGGGCCCTCGGTGCTTGCAGTCTTGTGCTGGGAAAAGAGGTCGTGGGAATATGATACGGGCCCTCGGTTCTTGCAGTCTTGTGCTGGGAAAAGAGGGCGTGGGAATATGATACGGTCCCTCGGTGCTTGCAGCCTTGTGCTGGGAAAAGAGGTCGTGGGAATATGATACGGGCCCTCGGTGCTTGCAGCCTTGTGCTGGGAAAAGAGGTCGTGGGAATATGATACGGGCCCTCGGTGCTTGCAGCCTTGTGCTGGGAAAAGAGGGCGTGGGAATATGATACGGGACCTCGGTGGTTGCAGCCTTGTGCTGGGAAAAGAGGGCGTGGGAATATGATACGGTGCCTCGGTGCTTGCAGCCTTGTGCTGGGAAATGAGGGCGTGGGAATAAGATACGGTCCCTCGGTGCTTGCAGCCTTGTGCTGGGAAAAGAGTGCGTGGGAATATGATACGTGCCCTCGGTGCTTGCAGCCTAGTGTTGGGAAAAGAGTGCGTGGGAATATGATACGGGCCCTCGGTGCTTGCAGCCTTGTGCTGGGAAAAGAGGCCGTGGGAATATGATACGGTCCCTCGGTGCTTGCAGCCTTGTGTTGGGAAAAGAGGTCGTGGGAATATGATACGGCCCCTCGGTGCTTGCAGCCTTGTGCTGGGAAAAGAGGTCGTGGGAATATGATACGGGCCCTCGGTGCTTGCAGCCTTGTGCTGGGAAAAGAGGGCGTGGGAATATGATACGGGACCTCGGTGCTTTCAGCCTTGTGCTGGGAAAAGAGGGCGTGGGAATATGATACGGTGCCTCGGTGCTTGCAGCCTTGTGCTGGGAAATGAGGGCGTGGGAATATGATACGGTCCCTCGGTGCTTGCTGCCTTGTGCTGGGAAAAGAGGGCGTGGGAATATGATACGTGCCCTCGGTGCTTGCAGCCTAGTGTTGGGAAAAGAGTGCGTGGGAATATGATACGGGCCCTCGGTGCTTGCAGCCTTGTGCTGGGAAAAGAGGTCGTGGGAATATGATACGGACCCTCGGTGCTTGCAGCCTTGTGTTGGGGAAAAGAGGTCGTGGGAATATGATACGGTCCCTCGGTGCTTGCAGCCTTGTGTTGGGAAAAGAGGCCGTGGAATATGATACGGCCCCTCGGTGCTTGCAGCCTTGTGCTGTGAAAAGAGGGCGTGGGAATATGATACGGGCCCTCGGTGCTTGCAGCCTTGTGCTGGAAAAAGAGGTCGTGGAAATATGATACGGGCCCTCGGTGCTTGCAGCCTTGTGCTGGAAAAAGAGGTCGTGGGAATATGATACGGGCCTTCGGTGCTTGCAGCCTTGTGCTGGGAAAAGAGGGCGTGGGAATATGATACGGGCCCTCGGTGCTTGCAGCCTTGTGCTGGAAACAGAGGGCGTGGGAATATGATACGGGCCCTCGGTGCTTGCAGCCTTGTGCTGGGAAGAGAGGGCGTTGGAATATGATACGGTCCCTCGGTGCTTGCAGCCTTGTGTTGGGAAGAGAGGGCGTGGGAATATGATACGGGCCCTCGGTGCTTGCAGCCTTGTGCTGTGAAAAGGGGGCGTGGGGATATGATACGGGCCCTCGGTGCTTGCAGTCTTGTGCTGGGAAAAGAGGTCGTGGGAATTTGATACGGGCCCTCGGTGCTTACAGCCTTGTGCTGGGAAAAGAGGTCGTTGGAATATGATACGGGCCCTCGGTGCTTGCAGCCTTGTGCTGGAAAAGAGGGCGTGGGAATATGATACGGGACCTCAGTGCTTGCAGCCTTGTGCTGTGAAAAGAGGGCGTGGGAATATGATACGGGCCCTCGGTGCTTGCAGCCTTGTGTTGGGAAAAGAGGGCGTGGGAATATGATACGGGCCCTCGGTGCTTGCAGCCTTGTGTTGGGAAAAGATGGCGTGGGAATATGATACGTGCCCTCGGTGCTTGCAGCCTTGTGCTGGGAAAAGAGGGCGTGGGAATATGATACGGGACCTCAGTGCTTGCAGCCTTGTGCTGTGAAAAGAGGGCGTGGGAATATGATACGGGCCCTCGGTGCTTGCAGCCTTGTGTTGGGAAAAGAGGTCGTGGGAATATGATACGGGCCCTCGGTGCTTGCAGCCTTGTGTTGGGAAAAGATGGCGTGGGAATATGATACGTGCCCTCGGTGCTTGCAGCCTTGTGCTGGGAAAAGAGGGCGTGGGAATATGATACGGGTCTTCGCTGGTTGCAGCCTTGTGTTTTCTAAGTAGGCTGTATGAATAAAACTTAGACCCTTAAATATTCACTTGTCATTGGAAATGTTTCAGTATTAAACGTAGTTGGCAAGGAGGCTGCAGAAATAAGATGCGAGTTTTTAAAATATTCTCCTGCTACAGGAACTGTTGCATTTTCTCCTTGTTTCTAGCCTTGTGTTTGGCAAAGAGCCTGTAGGAATAGGACGCAAACCCTTAAAATATTCACTTGCTCTAAGAACTATTGCAGTATCACCTGACGTTTTCTGCCTCGTGTTTGTAAGGAATCTGCTGAAATAAGGGCCCTTAAAATATTCTCATATGATTGCCATTGCAGCAGCATCGCTTTTTAGTCTTATGACCCTTTGTTCTACACGGTGTGTGAAATAAAAAGATCATGTCCCTTAAATAATTCCCATAAACTTCATGTCGGAAAGAGCACCAGAATCATGGTTAATAATTTTGTTTCCGTTGCAGTGGCAAGTGATATTCTCCCGCGTTTTTTATTTCGACCACGACGCTATAACCGCACTAAGTGACGCTCGGCAGGGAGTGTGCAACGACCCGGTCCCTTAATAAACACACGTGCAACTCTAACCGCATCAACACACTCTGATTACATTGACCTTCTTGTCCACTATGTGTCGATACAAAAAAAAAAAAGAAACGTTTTCTTAAAAATGACTTTGTGTATTTTCCTACTTGTGCCCTACAAGAAAGCTGTATGACTAAACAAGAACAACATTTACCTACTCGATACTATCATGCATATCATGTTCATATTTACTTTACATAGATATACGATGAATCGATACATGTTGAGTTTTCCTTGTTACTTGTATAGACTTGTTTTATTATGGCAAGAGCCAGTCCCCAAATATATATATATATTTGAGGACTGGCTTGCCATAATAAAATTCCCTCTCTCTCTCTCTCTCTCTCTATATATATATATATATATATATATATATATATATATATATATATATATATATATATATATATAATAAATGTTTGTCTAATGCTATGAGCCTTGAGGACATGGGTAAAAAAAGCTAGACAAGAGACCTAGGATAAGATTTAATCGCAATAAATCTAATGTCAATATTTAGACAGGATCGTTTTACATTGGCTTGGGCGTCGTGATTTGTTCATGCGTGACCTGCAAGAGAATGACGATGAAAAAAACCCTACGACATCGTTTCCTCATTGGCATTTTCTTTGTTACTCATTCTGAAATGCATCCATTGTGGGTCAAATCTCTAGGGTCAGTTATTAAACAATGGGTACAACGTTTGTAGCTTTCTGTCAGTTGGTCTTCAATCGATATAAAAGCAATGATAATTCTTTTGTCCCCGAAAAGTGAGTGCACATGTCATTATTGCTATCGATGATTAATGAACAATTCAGTACAACTAGAAAGAGACGAAAAACATGAAAAGACACGTTATATATCAAAACAATACATGGATGGTCCAAAAATATCTATCCATTTACAATACGTGATAGTTTTAGACATATTGTACATCGGACTGTACGTTCTGTGATTGTACCGCCCGATTGAAATTCACCTATCGAACTGTACGTTCTGTGATTGTACCGCCCGATTGAAATTCACCATTCGGACTGTACGTTCTGTGATTGTACCGCCCGATTGAAATGTACCCTGCAAGCTGTACGTTCTGTGATTGTACCGCCCAAATTGAAATGTACCCTGCGAGCTGTACGTTCTGTGATTGTACCGCCCGATTGAAATGTACCCTGCGAGTTTACGTTCTGTGATTGTACCGCCCGATTGAAATTCACCATTCGGACTGTACGTTCTGTGATTGTACCGCCCGATTGAAATGTACCCTGCGAGCTGTACGTTCTGTGATTGTACCGCCCGATTGAAATGTACCCTGCGAGCTGTACGTTCTGTGATTGTACCGCCCGATTGAAATGTACCCTGCGAGTTGTACGTTCTGTGATTGTACCGCCCGATTGAAATTCACCATTCGGACTGTAAGTTCTGTGATTGTACCGCCCGATTGAAATGTACCCTGCGAGCTGTACGTTCTGTGATTGTACCGCCGATTCAAATTCACCTATCGGACTGTACGTTCTGTGATTGTACCGCCCGATTCAAATTCACCTATCGGACTGTACGTTCTATGATTGTACCGCCCGATTGAATTGTACCCTGCGAGCTGTACGTTCTGTGATTGTACCGCCCGATTGAAATTCACCTATCGGACTGTACGTTCTGTGATTGTACCGCCCGATTGAAATGTACCCTGCGAGCTGTACGTTCTGTGATTGTACCGCCCGATTCAAATTCACCTATCGGACTGTACGTTCTGTGATTGTACCGCCCGATTCAAATTCACCTATCGGACTGTACGTTCTATGATTGTACCGCCCGATTGAATTGTACCCTGCGAGCTGTACGTTCTGTGATTGTACCGCCCGATTGAAATTCACCTATCGGACTGTACGTTCTGTGATTGTACCGCCCGATTGAAATGTACCCTGCGAGCTGTACGTTCTGTGATTGTACCGTTCGATTGAAATGCACCCCTCGGGCTATACGTGCTGTGATTGTACCGTCTGGTTGAAAAGCACCCTTCGGACAATATGTGTTGTGATTGTACAGTCTGACTGAAATGGGGGTCAAATTATTAAAAAACTCTATCGGATTTATAAATAAAATATCCATCTCTTCTTTAGAAATTACCTATCTATCTATTTTTGTCTGTTCGTATCTATCTATCTAGCTGGCTATGCGAGGCTTTCAGTATAGAAGTGAGGTTGTTTAACTTTTTAGCGAACGTATTTCAAATCATCCATATTTTAAAAAATGGTTTTCACACTGCTGATCTTGAATGAATTATCCCACATCTTTTCCGTTCCTCAGAGTTCATAATTCTTAAGCCATTGTCTTTAAAGTCCTTCATAATTTCCTTTGTATATTTTTCAATTCATCCCAGGTTTTCCCTTCGTAGCAACATGGAGCCATAATTACGATATAATTTTATAGATAAACAGCTACGTGTACATAATAAGAAAAACTTTTACCATCTTACATGTTACTGCTGAGTCGAAAGGGCTTATTATAGTGTTAAATTCACTGTTATCTTTCTTCATCTTCCGTTCGCTCACATAAAATAGGACGACTTTTTGAAGCTGTTTAACAATGTTCATTTCGCTGATGCAACGATATTCCTTTGCAATTGTAATACCTTCGTTAATAGTTTTTTTCTGTTTTTCAGGGATTTCTCTATATTGAATTTCAGTATGCTAAATTCATTTTTCTTTTTAATACTTTTCAACCTCTTCATAGAATCTTCTGTGTGCTGTCAGTAATTAACTCCTACTGAATGATGAACAAGAATTTTATAGGTAGTTACTCTCTACCAGCACTTTGTTCAACCAGGTTCTCCCATTGGTGGAATTGTAAAGTAGAACTCACAAGAGAGGTAAAAATTGAGGACTATTTTGTGAATGAGGACAACAGTTCGAATGATGTAAATAGTGTAGTTACCATACCTCATCTCAGAAATAGCGACTCGTCCTGAAGGAGGCCGGAAAGCGGCCGAAACGTCGTGAATGTGGCAATAAAGATGAGGACAACAGTCCGAACGATGTAAATAGTTACAATACCTGATCTTAGAAATAGAGACAGATCCTGAAAAAAGCCGAAGCGTATAACGGCCGAAATTTCCTGAATGTGGCAATGAGAGACGAGGACAACAGTCCGAATGATGTAAATAATGTAAATAATTACAAGACCTCATCTAAAAAATATAGACAGATGTATGTTTTCGATTGTTGTTCTTTAGGAAGATCGAGAAACAATCAATCAATCAATTACGTGACATACGTGATACACAGTTGTGCAATCACTTCTCTTTCGATTCATGACTGACTGGTAAGATGTTTTTTCCCGCAGTAGGTTGCCATTTCATTCTACGGTAGAACGATAGCCCAATGAGAATACAAACGAATACCTGTTTGGGTAGGAATGGTAATATCTACATTTAACATTCTGTGACTTCCGTTAGTCCATCCATCTAACCCTCTAAAATATCCATATACTGACCGATCAAAACCAAATTTTGGGAAGAATTACAAACAGGTAAGGGTGGGGGATTGCAAAGTACAGCACAAGGGTGCGTAGCTTAGTATAATAAATTTTCATTAATTTTTTGGAAAAAAATTAAATTTTATTATCTAATACTCTCACTATTTAAGAAAAACAATTTAATGGCTAAAATAAAAATATTGATTTAATAAAAATGCAATATTGTTATTGCATATCTTTTTAAGTTTTTATATACAAGAATCCACTTTCTAGTTCGCCCTGCGTTTGCGAAAACTATGAACAAATCACAAGGCCAAATACTTAAAAAAAAATTAGAATTTGGCTCCAGAAAGGAATATTTACGCATGGCTAGTTGTATGTTGCACGCTCAAGAGTAAGAAATCCTGAGAACTTATTCTTCGCTGTTAAAAAGGAAAAAAATTCTTAAAAAATATTCTTTACCATGAAGTCCTATAAAATTAAATAAAAGAAATTATTAAACTGCGAAATAGGGTTTTTGTTAAAGTGTTTTCCAAACAAATCAGCTTATTCAAATTTCATCGATTGGTTTGCTAAACTGAACGAAACGTCGAGTTTGTAAATCATAACGAAAAATGTTAGCGATGACTTCAACAATATTAAATATTGTGAGAATTTCAACAGGCGTCAGTGTGTTGTAAAAACATTCTCGTAAGAGAAACTGTGCAAAACTCTTTGTTGGTACAAACATTTTACGAATGAATTACTCGAACGATGGAAGGCAAAAGGTGACAATAAAATAGATAGCAACAACAGTCAAAAATGCTTCTCTCGATTTGATGAAAAGTGTTATAGTCTCATATCCAAAGTCGAACTCATAACAAATTTCGAAAACCTGTAAGCTGATAAGACATGACAATTTTGGCTTATGAAACAGAAAAAAAAGACATAATATATAAAAATAAATACTAAGAACACGGCCCAAACTGCTTCTCTCGATCTAATGAAGGGTTTATATATTCTCACGTCCAAAGATAAAAAGCCGACTTCAGAAAAGAGTTGTGAATATGTTAACTGATAAGACATGATAACCTTGGTTTTCCACAAAACAGAAGAAAAATACATAATTTATACTTTGAGGTGTTTACGTTGTTTCGCATAGTCTGACACAAGATCACAATTATAGAGACATTTATAGTTATTGAACTCTCTACATTAATGAAATCTAGCACAAGCGGATGTTACCCAAATGAGAATCGAAATCACTATCATTGTCTGTTTAAATGGCTTGCTAGATCAGG